GTCACCAGTCAGCTTGGTGTCGTCGCTCTCGCTGCGCAGTCTGTTCTGCTTGTCAGTTCGTCGGTCACGTACCAACTGCCCTTCGGTGCCTCAGTCGCCACAGCTGTACGTATCGGTAACCTCCTCGGTGCCAACCGACCTGAGGAAGCCAAGATTTCAAGTCGAGTTGCTCTCATCCTTTCGCTCGCGATGGGTGGCTTAAACTCGGCGCTTTTCCTCATCTTCCGTAAGCAGTGGGGTTGGCTGTTCAGCTCAGATATCGAGGTCATTAAGTTGGTCGAGGACATCTTGCCCTTACTCGCTTTCTTTCAGGTTGCTGACGGTATCTGTGGCATTGCCGGTGGTGTCCTCCGTGGTACTGGAAGACAGGCTGCCGGTGCTGGTATCAACATGGTTTCATACTACATCATCGGTATTCCGGTCGGTCTCGTTCTCACCTTTACACGCATCAACCTTGGACTCTCTGGTCTCTGGTGGGGTCTGACCATTGCTCTGCTCTTCGGCTCCGCCGGCATGATATGGCTAATCAGTATTACTGATTGGGACTGGGAGGTCAAGAAAGTGCAGCTCCGCATGGCCGTCGACGATCCTTCGGATCCTGCTCACCAAGTCGCTGCTGGACATGGCGTCGCTAAGCCTGACGTCGAGGCAGCCTCCGCTCCTCGCCTGGCACAGACATCCTCTGCCGTCGACGCTATCAACAGCAGAGACCCTACTCTCAGTCCTCTTGGGCTTGGTCCATCTTCTCTGGCCGGATCGGTGATCGAGGAAGAAGATGACGAAGTATCGATCTAATCTTCGACTTACTTTTTGGGCTGATTTCCTGCCGTCTTCCTTTCATGCTCATCGTTCAACTCTGGATAGACACATGCATTCTGCTTTTCTACCTCAATCTCAAGTCCCTTTGCATTCTGGGATTGTTCGTGAACAGACGCAGGCCCAATTTGCTCTTCGACTGAAATGTAACTTGAGCCAACATCTGAGCTTCCCCGTGTGCCAAAGAGCAGACTCGATGTAACCTTGAGCTCTTCAATGCAAAAAGGGTGCCTTTCGGCCAAGGCGACCCGATTCGATGAGAGCCAAGCGTAACACAAGCCAAGTTCAGAGATACTCAAAACAGAATCGTGTGTTCAAGACGGAGCAATGTTCTGCATCTACAAACGCGCTTGCTCGCCAGCAGTTTCGCGTAGTTTGGCGGGCTCGACAGCACCAATGTCACGAGCAACATTGCGTGCAACGCCGCGGGCGGTCGCCATGGTGGTGATCATTGGGTTGACACCGCTCGACTCGCACATGGCGGAAGCATCGGCAACCCAGAGGTTCTTTGTTCCCCAGACCCGTCCCTGAGGATCGAGAGCAGAGATCTTGGGGTTTCCGCCCATACGGCAAGATGCCATCTGGTGAGCGGAACCAATCGAAAGGATGTAAGGCTGAGCGCCGGCAGTAACAATCTTCTTCTGCCACTCCTGGTAGGCGGGATCGTTGAGGTCACGGGGCACGGTCTCGACAGGAGTCCAAGTGGCAGGAACCTGGGTAGTCTCGGTGTAGATGCTGTCGGCAGGGGGCGAAGGAGCAGCAGGTACACCCGATGTGGGCGCCTGGGCGGAGCCGAGAGAATTGGCGACGAAGACCGGAACGCCGGTCTGCGCAGTGGCGATGGCCTCGGCACCAGCCATGAGGTGCGCCTCGGCTCCACGCAAGATGCCCTGGAGCAATGTGCGCTGATCGAACTTGGAGATGGTGTAGTCAACTCGGGCGTGCCCCTTGTCGTCCAAAACGATGCGACCACCGTCACGGTCACGGCAGATGATAACCATCGTGTAGCTGTGACTGTACTGAAGCATGCGCGCCTTGTGCTCCTTGGCGCTGGCATAGTTTTGGAAAGACGCGTGAATGGATGGCGACGAAGCGATGACCTCGATCTTGCAACCCCAGCCGTCCGCAGTGACATGCTCGGCAGAATTGTCCACCATGGTAAGCAGTCCACCCTCCCATGGCTTGACGGGAAAGTTGTAGTAGCCTGTGACTACGGTAGCAGGGTGTAATCGGAGCGTCTGGCCAATCATCTTATTGCTCTTGAGCTCAGGCGATCGTAAGAGGAGAGCGGGGGTATGGAGTGAGCCTGATGAGACCACGACACCCTTGGCAGCCAGGATCTTGACCTTGCGTCCATCGACGACAGCGAGAGCACCAATGGCGCGCTTCTTGTTGTCGAAGAGGATACGTTCAACGTAGCAGTTGGTCATGAAAGCAGCACCGGCCTCAGCAGCGTCCTTGAGCCACGAGACTACGCCTCCCTGCTTGTGTCCGGAAACGCAGCCGAGCTGACATTTGCCGCAATAGTGGGTGTGGCCACCGCTGTTTTGCGGTACAGGCTCGACCGGATGACCAGCACGCTGAGCTCCGAGAGCAAGGAGCGAGTTGCCAATATTGTGACGGATGGGGGCAACGGCGACGCCCATACGGGTGCAGACGGCGTTGAGGTCGGATGTGAAATATGGGCTGTTAAAGTAGGGCACTCCGTACTTTTCGGCCCAGGTCCTGCGCACAAAGTGGCGAGGCTTGAGCGAAGCGGACCAGTTGACGGACGACCCGCCACCAAAGGTGGAGCCGGCCAGGATGTTGATGGAGCCGTCCTCAGAGGGCAATATGCCTTCGCCTTCGTACAGGAGGCCGTATCCTTGATCTTCGCGACCAACGACTTTGTCAGGGTGAAGGTAAATGCCTTTGTCGACGATCAGAGTGCGCACGCCTCGCTGGGCGAGGTAGCTACCTGCGACACCACCACCCGAGCCGGAGCCGATGACCAAAACTTCGGTGTCGATGATGAACTCGGAGCCCGATGGCTGAGCGGCGATCTTTTCATTTTCAAACTTGTAATCGTAAACGGGGGTAGCAAGGCCTGCCTCGCTTCCTTGTGAAGGGCGGGTCCAGTCGTCGGGTCGACCATCTGGGTAACCGATGGCTTCCCAAGCTGGCTGGTGGTTGCGGTAGTACACGAGGAGGGTGATACCTTTGAGACCGGCTGATGCCTTTCGGAGGAGCGTGAGACGAGACGTGAACCAGCCAAAAATAATCTTTTCTCGGGTGGCACGGTCGAGCTGAGCGAAAGGCCCGACGTAGCCGGACAAGGCAAGGGTTCCGGGGCGAGTGGAAAGGAGGGTCAAGAAGAGGTTGATGTCGCCAGCGACCTTGGACGAGAGAGAGGCGTTGACTTGCTGAGCAGCGCAGTCAAGCAGGCGAGGGGTTGACTTGAATCCTTCTTTGGCGAATCGAGGTGCGAGTTCTCGCTGACGCTCCGTAACGTTGGCAGGCAAGTGCGAAAGAACGTCGGCAGCCTCGACGCCATCAAGTTCGGGAACAATGGCATCAGCAAAGGCAAGAAAAGCCTCCCTCTGTCCGGCGTTCCAATACTCGTCTGCCTTCATGACCTTGAGCATGGGAACGGTCCCAGTGGTCGCGACCGACATGATGCTATTAATGATTCTATGTGGGTCGTCGAGGGAATTGGAAGAGGTACAAGGGCTAAAGAGAATAAGGGTCTAGAAAAGTAGAGGAGATTGCTAATAGATGAGGCAGAGGTAGGACGGAAGATAGGTAGAGGTGAGAGGCGAAGGTAGGTTGGCGCAAAAACAGTAGGGCCAATGGAAATGAGGGGTAGAGACTGATGGCAGCATGGAAAGGATGCGGGGAAGGTGATTTAGATGCGTGGAAGAAGACAGCCGATGAGGCCGGGGACGGCGGTAACCTATCAGAGGAAGTGTGAATGTTTTGTGGCAAGGCCCAGGCGGTAGACAGCAAAGAGGCTTGTTTCTGTGTGGCTGTAATGCGAGCTGTCGGAGTCTCACGAGTTGCAGCCTAAGCAGAGCTGCAGCCTGGACGAAGAAGTGCGGGTGAATCCTAGTGGATACAAATGAACAGGTAAGGCTACGCAGGGCTGAGCATTCTCATTACAAAGAACAAAGGGCAAGTGAAGAATGAGGTGTGGTACTCGAGATCGGCCACTTTAGATTCAAGAGACTCAAAGTCTGGCTCATAACGGAGCAACAAAGGACCGTATATGACAGGCCGTCAGGCAGACTTGGGCAATTGATAGCTTCTTCTGGTCTGTCGACGGGGGTGCATCGCCTCACGTAATGCGGTGTGGCAAGGTCAGCTTCTGGTTTTGAAAGAAGAACGAAATGGTCGTGCCAGCTCTGTACAAAGGCCTTGCCTGCATAAAGCCGCACTGCATACGAAATTAGCGTGGACCGTCGCCCCCAACAACGAAAGAACTGTCTGCTGAAATTTCTGGCTTTGGACCTTCAGGGCGGAATGGATGCAAGCTCTTGGGTCATGCTTGGCTCGCTGGGCGGTAACCCAGCAGATTTCGTGCTACCATCAGTGTCAACCTCTATCTTACAAACACAGCAACAACTCAGTACCGTATGCTTTGGGCTTCCTAACATCCTTGTCTTCGGCTGAATGTGTTGCACCACTACGGACTGTCTTGTGTCGCTGTCGCATTTAGACACTGTAAGCATAAGCGTTTCATGTGCATGATCTTGCTTCACAACAAAGTTTGTATAGCAACTGCACACAGGGGTCGTACCACGGTGGGGTTTGACAAAAAATAAAAATAAAAATAAAAAACAGAGAGAAAGAGAAAGGGTTAGGGTGTATTGACATGCATGCCATCTTGAACAGCGCGTGAATCCTCAATCTTCTCTTCGTCATTATGCGGTCGACATTTTCGCCTCTCTGGCCACCATGTAGCGAGAGCCGCGGATTGTGCCCAAACCGCAGAAAAAAGACCTCGTTGCCCCATGTTCCTGCTGTCTCCTGTTTTTTGATTTTGGCGCGCGTTCTGGCTGATGCCTAAGCGAAGATAACACTGCCGTACACACTGTACTTGAGAGCATCATGACCTTCATTTCCGGACCCTTTGTGAGCAAGGAAAAAAATGGTCACTGTGCACAATAATATCCAAAGCGTTTGGTAAAGGGCTGACAAAAAAAGTTAGGTCGTACTGGGATTCGAACCCAGGGCAAGAGAAGTCGAATCGTATCGTCATGCCTGAATGACACATCAGATCAGAATCTCCTAAGTTAACCAACTACTCCATACAACCTCGGATGTTGCGCGGAGCATCATATAAAATATATAATCATTTTACAAAAAGGGCAGAGTGAGAAAGTTTCTTTGCGAACTTTCAAGCCCTGCTGTTTCGGCCTCATTGTATTGCAACTTATGCACATCAAATTGCTCAGTGGGAATTGCTAGGTCCTAGGCAATCAACGTCGACGTGTCTCAGCTCCTCAGCAATCATGGTGATGAACCTGCTCGAAGCCAAGCAAGCTGACAAATATTCCATATCACACCAAGTCCCTTTCCCTCTCCCTCTCTTTCTCTTCCTCTTTGTCTTGCTTCTCCTCTCTCCCCTGTCCTTCCCTGGCTCTGCCTTTCGCTTTCGCTGCATCAGGATGTGGAAGAAAAGTATTAAAAGTGCAAAAAAAAGGTCGTACTGGGATTCGAACCCAGGGCAAGAGAAGTCGAATCGAATCATCATGCCTCAAGGACATGCTAGATCAGAATCTCCTAAGTTAACCAACTACTCCATACAACCCAGTTTAAAAACCTTCTATCAGTTTGTAAACATATATACGTGATTTGCTCACATTATTTAAAGCCTACACTTGAACAATTATATATTCACCAATAGGCAAGAAGATCAACAGGCACTTACGGCTTTGCACGGGAATCAACATGAGGCAAACTTTTGGTTCGAAATTGAGGCTGGTGGGGATACTGCCCTAGAAAAGCAGATCAATATCCTTGAGGAAGGCTTCGAGGTCGAAGGGAATACAAGCGTTAAAAAGGTTCGCATCAAACGTGTCAACCCCGCTGACTGAAGGAGTGACCGAGCCCGTCAATACGAGCTCTGGAGCACCAGAAGCATGTGTGTCACTTGATGGCACTTCACCGCTGGATGAGTCGCTAGCGACAAAGACGGTGGACGTGATGAGCTTAGGTGGACTGCTTTTGGCGGTGCTATCGAGGTGGGTCCTGCTTCGCGAGTCGTCGCGTGCGGATGTTTTGAATTCAGGAGTGTGGGATGCTGAGCGAACTCTGCGACTGATGCAAGCGTGTCCATAGCGGTGGTGCGGCTCTGCCTGGAAGCGTGACTTGAGCCCTCAGATTCGGGGCAATTGGCCCGTCTTTCACGGCTTGAACATGCTCTTTGATCGGCTTGAGGCGAAGAAGAGGAAGGTTCCGGGCGAACACTGGATACGGCGGTTTTCATTTACTGTCGCCATCCCATAACTCGCAGTCAATACTGAGGACATTGCAGCGATGGCATTGCTTCTCCACTGGTAGCGGGCATTTGGAGCTGTTGACGTAGACATCGGAAAGCTCGCAGCGTGCTTTCTTCTCTCGGCATTTGAGGCAGCTGCGTCTCGCTAACCGACGTTTCTTTGGAAGCGGTGATGAACGATCAGCTCCTCTGCTTTGAGACATCATACGAAGACGCCCTTATCGGCATTGTTTTGACGAAGATGGTGATTCGACAAGGTTTTGATGATCGCTACCTTGCCAAGTCCGAAGCCTCCGGACTTGGCTATGGCAAATACTTCGGGGCGGAGTTGCAGTCTGCTACGCAGCCGCCCTAGCTGATAACTTTCACCGCTAAGACGCAAGTCCGCTGGGCATTCGATCAAATCCCATCCTACCCTGAAGTTTTTGGCTCAACAGCTCGGACGTGATGCCGTGGCACTCAATGGAACAACATGGCCTTTGAGCGCTTGGCGCTGCTCAGAATCCCAAAACACGGACGCCCCATATAAAGGTCGGGAAAAAGTTGATGGTTTAGGTCGAACATCACCCAACGGAATGACTCATTCCTCTTCCCCAATAGCTACAAATTTCCCTCCAGAAAACGATTGACAAAATGACCTCCATCCTTCTTCTTGCAGTCTCTGTAGCCGCATCCCAGTTCGGCGCTGCTGATGTAGCGGCCGACGTTGCTAGCACCAAGACGATCATAGCCATGGCAGCCTCTAGTACACCCATTGGAATCCTCAAGTACGAGCCCAGTAAGGGCGGCAACTACTTTGTAGGAGGTCTCTACGCGGTTTGCTGCGTCCTCATTTTGTACTATGTCTCGCGATGGAAGGACTGCTGGGCCTTGTGTTTGCCTGTCGGATGCTTCTGCTCGGCTGTTGTTTATTCTGTTCGCTCCTCGATCGACTCCTACAAGGTCAGCCTGAGCTTGTACATTGTGCAAAGCCTGTTTGCTGTCATCTCACCTGCTGCATTCCTCGCGTTCAATTATCTCTTGTATGGACGCACGATCTTGACGGTAGATAAGGATTTTGGTAGCTCAAATATCGAAATGCAGGCGCTGGAAAGCCAGCCGTTGACATCGGCTCAAAAGATCACGATGCTCCACAAGGCAGGTGGACCCAAGAAAGAAAAGTCACGCTTCTCGTTGATCCCTCCGCGCATCTTAGGCCGCGTGTTGGTTTAAAGCGACGTGGCGACATTCTTTACTCGACGTGCGGCTGGAGGAAGCCAGGCTAGCGGCGGAACAGATAACTCGGAAATGGTCAACATTGGCGACAAGATGCTCATGGATGGAGTCATTCTTCAAGGCGTATCTTACATCTATTTCAAGCTGCTTTTGACATACGCAACAATTCTGGTAATCCGAGAGCGGTCTCGTGATGGATCAAATCAGATTCAGGCAAACACGATCATGGGTCTTGAAAAGCCGGTGTTTGCTTTGGTGGCTGGACTGTACTTTTTGTCCATTTTTATAATTGTGAGTATCGACTCATTAAATGCCCTACCAACAAAGCTGCATTCTTGTTGATCTTTGTCTCTTTCTTGTTATGTCGCGATTCCAGGTGCGATCGGTGTTTCGAATGACTGTATTCTCTCAGGGGTACAGCGGCTACTTAGTCTCCCACAAAAGTAAGTACTGTATACAGTCATCGTCGGTGTGCGTGCGACCCTTCTGACTGAGTAGCTCACTAACCTGGATTTTATCCTCGTTTGTTCGTCGTGTTCGTATGGGAATATGTATAGTCTATCTCTTCTCGCTCGATGCAGCACCTTTGCTGGTTGCTGTGGGTGTGTGGGTGGTCATGTGGCCGTCCGGTCTTCTTGAAAGAATCTTCGAGAGTCGGTTCTCGGACCGAACCTATTCGCTTTCCAAGACACACCCGTAGATATGGCGGTCTCACCGTCAGGACCACCAGATGGCTCGTCAAGGCTAGGCTCCTCGTGAACCTTTTCTCTCGCCCTGTCACTTCGAAGCGGACAAAGTCAAACGGTTGCAATGATACCAATTTGGGATTGATGTTAACAAGGAGCTATGTTTATCCATCCGAGCGTAGCTTCTTGAGTGTGTGAGGCATCGCCATTGAATTAGAACCAGTCCGCCGAACCCATACTGTAGCGGTTGCGGATCTAATAACGACCGCTGAGTTTTATGGTTGGAATGCAGATGTATGAAATTCGAAAGACCTAATGATACAAATGGCGGGTTACCATTACGATGCGAGGCGATGAAAGCAGTGTGTTGCTTATAGCGTTGTTCTGTGAGAATGAAGTGGAGCGATCCGATTAGCCCATTTGTGCGAATTCGCCGACACGCTGAAAGTTGGACTTGTCTTCAGAGTCATGATTCTCGGTGGTGTCCATCTTGGCCTCCGTTGCAGGAGCGGTCAACTCGTGTTGTTGCTTGAGATCAAGCTGAAGAAGCTTGTGGTTGCCAGGATGCATGAGCTTGCATTCATCACTGAGAGTAATATAGGCGAGGAGAAGCATACCTTGTGTCAGTAAAGGGCTGTTCGAATGACATTACGATCTTGAAAGAGAGCAACGGATCTGCGTTGCCGTTACAAAGAACAGGAAGTTGACACTTACTGGTTCTTGCCGCTAATTCGAACCATGCGGAAGAGGGGGAGTGCCTGAGGATCGCCTTGCCAGTCTCTGATCAACTTTACGTTTATGGTGCTTGTAAGGTCAGGGAGCTCGAAGCCTTCGTCATACTCCTGCAACTCCTTTGCGATGATCTGCTTGAGCTCGAGCTCGCGATTATGAGGCGGTCTGCCTGGTCTGCGCTCTGACTTGAGCTGTTCTAGCTCGTCATCGTGGCGTGTGAGAAAGTTTTCTGAGATGAAAGCGTGTACAGATTGGAGATCTGGCAAAGCATCGACGTCATCGGGAAGCATGAGGATCAAGGTGGAAAGACGGTCTACCTTTGCATTGGAGAAGCGATGACGAACAGATTTTGCCTGAGTGAGTTTGTCCCTACGATGTGCTACTCTCGCTAGTTGTGTAGCCCTCCTGGAGTAAGGATGAGTGGGGCCTGACTTTTTCTTGATGGAACGTTCTGAGATCTGTGGTTCGAGTCGATAAGATGAAACTGTCACGGTTCATTGGCTGCGGAAGTATGAGATGGTACATTATTGTGAGCAGCTCGTAAACATACCTTTTTTCCTCCCATCTTGTCGAGAATGATTTGAGCTGAATGGATGGAGTCGGTGTCAACAGAAGGATGTGTTGGTGACACAGATTGGCCGTGTCGCTGCAATGTCAAAATGACCCTCTTTGACACTCCACCTGCTCGAGGAGAAAAAAAAAATGGGGTCGAGAGGAAATTTCGAAATGCAGGGCGGCAGGGATATCAGCCGACTCCCGAAGAAGAAGTTTGATTTGATCGGGACATCGGTCTGGCTACAGCGCCGATTGGTTCCTGCTCAAATGGAACCAAGTTTGGTTGGCAAACGCCTCAAATCCCAGCTGTTCCAGTCTCCTTTATCGGCGTGTATTTTATTAATAACAAAATGAACGAGGCTGTCGGCGTTCAAACATGGACCGATGTACATGATGCTTTAGGTACTGAGCTATATGCTGGATGAGAGTTGAAAGTCGCTCAAGGGGGTGTTTGTGCAGATGATGCACAAGAAACGACAGCGTGGCTCTACAGCTCGGGGTTGCAGCATTGAGCAGCTGCAAGACGATCATCATGGCCTTGTGGGGGCGCGCCTAAGTTACACAGTGCAGTAAATTTAATTAATTCACAATACAGAAAAATATTAATTAAATTACAGCAAATCTGAC